TTTTGACAAAATAGTTGTTAGCTATTTCAGAAGATTTTAAATGCTCTTCAACCACTAATTTGGCCACAAGCAGTGCAAAATTCAGCTTAGAAACATTGAAACGTTGTTTTTTCTATACATTATCTTTCAGTGCTTAAAAGGGCATTTGGCATGTTCGACACTGCCAACAGAGGAACAATTGATCGCGAAAAAGTGCGCACAATTTTAACAACACTTGGACATTCCTACGATGACAAAGAACTGGAACAAATGCTAAAGGATGAAGATCCGGAAGGTGAGAATAGTTTAAAAAATTATAAAACAAGAAAGACAAATTAATAAATTTAGTCTTGCGAATTATTTTGCTCTGGAACTTACACATACAGGGTGTCCCGTGACTCGTGAAATTTATTTAATTTATGGTTAATATATTGTGACAACAATGCATGAGCGTCTAGAAATATCAGGAAAGGTATGCTGATCGAAGAATATTGAATAAATAGTAGCTTTGGGAAACCGATTTTTTATCTTAGCGATTCTTAAATAGTCGAACGAAGCACACTTTTCCATTTCTTTCCAATTTCCATTCATCGATCTAAAAATAGCTAATCCATATAGAATGAAGAAATTTGCCGACATTAATCTATATTTCTCCAAAAATGCGTCCCTTGAACAATAAAGCAGTTTAAACGAAATAACAGCAAAGACGCCCTCGAAAGCGGGCTGAAAGAAAAATTGATAACCCTTGCGAATATGGGATAACAAAATCTAATAAAAGCTAGTAGTCATGCCATGACATTGAAGAAATTATCTCCACCTTAATCTTTCCAAGATGCAAGTGATATATCAAGTCTCGAGGGTGATTGAAAGTTGGCCCAAAGTTTTATTGAAATTTATAGCCATCGGCTTCTGCAATATCGAGAGAGAGTAATATCTTGGCCATGATTGAGCAGAAATTTTTTATTGATTTAACAATAAGCAACACTCGTATCGCTGTTAGTGATTATCGTAACTTAAGTTAATCAAGGAATTCGCCTCGTTCAAAATGCCCCGAAAATCGTTCGAGTATCACTGTTTATGACAAACAAAAGTTAAATCGATTCATAACTATGAAAATCATCCATTATCCTGTTCGGTTAGTTTCGAAGATAGATAACCCGTCGAACTCTGGGGATATTTAGATATATATTTAACAGAGCAATTACTCTTCGCCAGAAAACATTTCCGATTTGGGTTTCGCCATGCACTGAACATCCTGGGACTAGAATTTCATCTGGATTGCCCGATTTACTTTCGCCGGATATTTACATACAAAATGGTTAATTAACTGCTACTTACATAATAACTAATTTCACACCGTCTAAAGGTATGCAAATTTCGAACATTATTCAGTCAGCGCTGAAATTTACGGAAAATACTCCCTCAAGTATCACTAAAGACGCTGTTTGCATTCGCGCTAATGATCTCATTTAGTAAACCGGTAAATTTTTCGCCACTCTGGCAATATTCCAGATAAATTTCCAGAGTCGGTGTAATTGGACAGGTCTAAAGTGGCATTAAGGTTTATTAGCGCGTTATTTATGCACTAATAGTGATAATAACGCCGATTAACCGAGGAAAAGTATTTAGTGGCTTAAACACCTTCTAACACTATTAATTGGTAATTTCATCAAAATGAAAAAAACTGCAAATTCACTTTATATACTCCAATAGACTTTTAGTAAGCCGGCGGATTTATTTTGGGTAGTGGTACAAAAATATCATTTTCACAGTATTGAAGCGCATTTTGAGAAAATTAAGTTGAAATTTAGCGTAAAAATAGTATACCTACAAGTCTGTCTGTAATTGGTTGGTTTTTTTAATCAAGCCAATTTTTATGAAATGGCAGATTTCAAAATTTCAGAATCCCAAAGTTCTCTTGAAATGAGGTGAAAAAAATTTTCTTTCTTGTAAAAAAATACAAAAACTCAAAACAGTTGAAAGTAACCTTTAAGTGAAAAAGAATACAATCTGACGGCTTTCGGTTCGTTAAAGCTCCTGAATCTTTGAAAAACCTAAAAAAAGTAGAAAGATGAATTTCTCAACATAAAAAAATACAGGCACAAATGAAGTATCGAAAAAGGCAGACCGCTAATGGTAAAAATTGTTAAAAAATACGTGAAAATGGAGGAAAACGCCTTCAGGAAATGGAAATTGTTCGAGAGCTACTAGAAGATGATCCAGATCGGCGACCAAAATTTTACGATTTATTGATGAAAACCGTTTCTCATTAGAGTAAAATCTTTTTGAGTCGAGACTACTTTTGTTTCAATTGCTCACGAAAATCGTCAAATCCGTCGTTATTAGGTCGAAAAAAACCTCAATCGGATGAAAATACCATCGTCAAAAGACAGAAGAGTTGGCACATTTACAGCACATTTTGAACAATTTTTGGATTGAAAATAAATTATATTTTTGAACTGGGTTTTGACTGTGTGCGACCCTCAAACACGCAAAAAAGCGTTTCCGCTACCTTTTCAATGAGAATTTACAAGCCAAACATGCAAAAAACACGTTGAGGTTTTTTTTGGCAAAATTGTTCTTTTTTCCGCTAGCAAATTTATTCGAGTTGTTAAAGTCTCAGCTCTGTATGTTGTAAGCAACAAAAACTATTACTTTGTATAGACTCTTATAACTTTCAATAAACCCCACTTTATATGTGCTTTTATATTGTTCGTTTCTCAGTCATTTAATTTGATTTTTGCTGTTACAACTTGTTTCAGAAAATGGAGCTGTAGACATTGAAGCCTTTTGCCGCGTTGCGTCCCATTTCTTAGAGAATGAAGATGAAGAGGCCATGCAAAAGGAACTAAAAGAAGCGTTTCGATTATATGACAAAGAAGGTAGGAAAAGACGATTTTTGAAAGATATTGGGAAAATGCTTTCATTCGAAAAGCAAGACCGTAAAACCGGAGCCAGTTGGGGTTTGCAACTGCAATGCAAAAATAAGTTCCTGTCCGAATCCAAGTCCTTTTAGTTACATTTTCTATAAGCTGCTTCATCATCCACTTAAGTCCATTTCACTCGATCTTAATTTATTTGGGGGCAAAAAATGAATTTTTTGCCCACATCTTATTCAATTCGACTATTGACTGATTGTGGCAAAGACCGTAATTGATCACAAGTGCTCCTGACCCAGAAACAACTTTATTTTTGATTTCTTTCAACTTTGGACGCTTGATAGATGGTCGAATGGAAATCACACGATCATGATTTCAGGCAATCATCGCAGTGCGAACTGAAATGCTACTAATTCTGCAAATGCCCATCAAACTGATCGATGCTGGTTCGAAAATATCCCGAGTTTCTGCTAATTTGTTCAAAAAGTTGTTTGTTGTTGGAAAGGATGAAAAAATCCAAATATGTCTGGAGAGTTTTGAAAAACCTTTAACAATACACACTCTCATGGTGGTTGTTTACTGTAAAACAATGAAACTACAGATGAAAATAGCCGATCACTCAGTCAGCTCCTGACGGTTTATTTGTTTGCACACTTGAACAAGATATAAAAAATACAACTAATCTTGAAATGGAACGCCACTTGAACAATGCTTTAAATAGAACGACAGTGTAATTTTCCAAGAAGCTAATGATTTTCTGTTTGCCAGGCAATGGTTATATTCCCACCTCAAGTCTGCGGGAAATTCTTGCTGCCTTAGATGATCAACTCACTGGCGATCAGCTTAATGAAATGATTGCTGAAATCGACACTGATGCCTCAGGAACAGTAGATTTCGAAGGTAATGGGCAAAAATGTAATTCTGGATTTTTAGTCAACTGGTTTTTCTCGTAGAATTCATGGAGATGATGACTGGAGACTAAGGGATTCAAGTCAAATAAAACCTCACCTATATAAACTTTACCAGCTTGTGTAATTTGCTGCTGAGTTAATAAAGGAAAACCGTTAAATTTTGTTTTTAGTTATTTGATTTTTATTCGTAAAGGCCAGTCGTTTGCTGGGAAAAATTGTTTCTTTTCTGAAGCGTCCTTCCAGAGGTTCGAGTTTTTTGAATTATTTTTTTAGGCACACTTATGGTTCTAATAAACGCGTTGCCGCGTGCGACAAGCGTTCTTTCAAAAGCCTGCCAATATTCTCTAGATTTTCCCGAAAAGTAAAAAACATTTCCTCAAGATATTTAAAGCCAATTTTCATCTTTCCAGTCGAGTGGCAATCGCTCTTCTATGTACCTTCGTCTTTTCAAAACTAATTTTTGAAGAACACTCTCGCACCGGAGGAAGACGCCGAAGCGCGTGTTAAGGAATGCTTTAAAATATTACAAATGTTCTCCAGATTTTTTCCCAAAATTGAAACTCTCTGATCGTTAAACCTGGACTTTCCTCTATTTAATTCAGTCAGGTTCTCTTCCATCTGTCCCAGTTTTCGCAACTTTAGTTTTTGAAGAACATCTATGCATCTGAAAACATTTTGTTTCAAAAGGCTGCCAATATTCTCTAAATTCTGTGTGAAAAGTGCAACATCTTGGACATTTAAAGCGAGTTTTTCTCTTTTCAACAGAGTGCAAATCGCCGTTCTATCTTGTCCAGGTTCCTCAACCACAGGTTTTGAGAAGTACTTGCGCATCTAAAAAATACGTTTGAGCCCACGACAAGCTCAGCTTCAAAGGCCTGACAATATTCTCCAGATTTTTTTCTTTAAATTGAACTTTTGGATCAATTATCACAAATAATTCTTCTTTTCAATGAACCGTCAAACGCGCTTCTATTTGCGCCAATTTTTGCAAAATTAATTGTTGAACAACATCTATGGATCTAAGAAATGCCTTGAAGTGCGTGGGAAGTATCGTTTGAAAAGCCTACCAATGTTCGAAAAGTGAACATTTGAACCGAATTTGTGTCTTTTCAATGGAATGCCGAGCACCTTTTCGTATGTTCTGAGAATTTCGCAAACTAATTTTTAAGAGGCACTTGTGCATCTGAAGAAATCGTTTGAGCACAGGGCAGCGTTGCTTCATGGGCCTGAAAATATCCTCCAGATTTTTTTCCAAAAGTGAAGCGTTTAGGAGATTGATGGCAATTGTGCCGACAAGGAACTAATAAGTAAATCTTTAAAGATCGGTTCTCCTTCATTCATTTATTTTTCTAATTGATTTTAATTAAAACTAGCAAGTTTAACTGGAAATTCAAACCGGTGCGTTTCTCGGTCATACTCTGGGTAGAAACTCATATAGCAAACGATATTGAAGCAAAAACACGAAGGCAGAAAATACAGTTTTAAAAACCTGCACAGCAGGAACTCAATTTATCGTAAGTATATTAATACCGCAGCGAAAGTAACGCTTTGGGGACATCATCCAAAGACATGGAAATATTCTTGGGACATCCAACTGCGTTCCATATCGATTTGTCGAATTGAGACTTTCTGTTATCTCATTCCAGTGTTTGCCTTCCCTTAAAGAAGCCATTTGGCCTTATGCATATTTTAGAGCCTGAGATAGGGAATATGGAATGTGTTCGGATAAATATGAGATGCTGTCCAATAAAAAAGTGGCGATAATATCCACGTTTACATAGAATGATCGATTGCATCAATTTTCTTGCAGAATTCCATGGAGCGATTAGGAGGTATTTGACATTTTCCTTATTAAAACAAACAGAATTCCAACGCACTCCAAAGACGGAATTGATGTGGAAGTTAATAGAGCCAATCTCGCCCTTAGGAAATGAAACAAAAAGCCATTCCGTCTAGCGACATTCATAATAAATCACAATTCAAGCTTACGAGGTTCTCTTGTTACCACATTCCCTATCATGATATGGGTTTATGTCACCCTCCATCAAGCCCTGCTAAAATGTATTCAGGAACTTCTTCCTCCACTGCCCTCCTCTGAAAGTGGGTATCAGAATGCCCCCAATGTACAGTTCGATAACCGAAGTTAATGCCAAAAAATTGTGTGAACGGAGATAGTAATTCTTTGTAAACCCTATCAGACAAAAATCAGTGAGTGGGTGAGTTTTCCAGGGTTTTGGGCCATCGCAAAAATGTTTCTGACGTTTTGCAAGCACAACAACTGTTGCAAAAGTCCGCCCTTACAATACAATGCAAACCATTTCTTGAATCGGATTTTCAATCCGATTATCAACCAGCAATTTGTTCGAGGATTTTGTACTTTTTGGATTTTAGTTGGATTATCGAATGGCCAATGTTAATCAGGTTGTCTGGCTCTTTTGGTAATTGTTCATTATTACTACATCGATCCCGGCTAAAAGCTTTGCGCGATTAAATTTAATCACTTTCCGTTCGTTCGACAGCCACCAGATTGGTTTTTCCAATTTTCCACGTTTAAGAGTACTTTGTTTTTCAGCCACTTCTAGTTTGCTTAATTTCGGCCAGAATTTTTTGAATTTTGGATTGAACGCCCAGTAGAGTATGCGACATGTTACGAAATGGCAAAATTCCTCAAATCGATTAATCACTTGACTCCTATGTTTATTATCTGTCTGAGAATGTGTACAATGGGTTCAAATTCGCAACTTCCATCGCACCGAAAACTCACTTTCCGCATTATTCAGTAGCGAATGAATGGCTTGCTAAGCATCTTGTTTTCTAAACGTTCCGATCTTCCACTCCATTATAGTCCCAGCTTATTCAGCATTATGTGTGTTGCCATGAATATCTCAACTTGATGAAAACTTCCGAATAAAAGTGCTTTGTATGTGCCAGCCGGAATGCATCTTGCGACCTGAATACGAACTATTTTGCCACACAGATTTTGCACTTAAAATTTTAAAATTTGTTGTCTTTTGAAATGCAAAAGTCTCTCCTGTGTGGAAACAGAGATCTATTTGGCATGGAGCAGACGGTTCGTATCACACGCACTCAAAATATTAGCCATTGCAACATTATGTTTAATTGTGTCAAGTTTATTTGAAAAATCACTCATTTGTGGCCTAGCTGATAAAGCGTGAATCATGTCAATAGCAGGAACCGATAATTCACTTTAAACAAGACAAAAAAATACAAAATTGCTGTCTGGGGTGGTTGTTTGGGAGTATGCAGGGAGTGCTGCGGAAAAAGCATATGCATTTTTACTCTTTTTTATCTGCATTTATCACACCGCCTAAAACGCAGGAAAACTCAGAAGAATTACCTTTTTTTATTACTAAGTGTTTGCATCAAAAATCGCGTATTAAATTAAAGTTTCTTGATGAAAAAAGTTTATAACACTGGAAAGGAGTGGCTCTTCTCTAAACCATCACTTCATGCTGACTGCTCAAGTTCTTCCGAAAAATTGAGATCAAAAAAACAGAATGTTCGCAAAACGTTTGAATGATTTTCCATGCCTGATGCTGGTGCTTGTTTCTATCAAGCCCCATGAATATTGCGTAAAGATGACTTAAGGGATCAGAAGTTCACAAGTTTACGCTAAACAACCGGAAAACAATATTACAATATAACAAATTATCATGCACTTTAAAACTTTCTAAATCGAACTAACTAGCCTGGAGAACTGGAAAATTGACGCAAGTTCATTTTCAAGAAAACCCATTATTTGGTGGCATTTGCACGGCACGATTTCTGGCTATTTTGAACTTGAAAAATAAACTTGTGCACTTTTTCCACTAGAAACTAATCAGATTGCAATCCGAACCTTGTCTAGCTGCATAATTTACCTGGCTGAGACTTCTATAGCTACTAGCGCTTCCACTGCGCGCCTGAAAAAAAGTCACTTTTGAATATTAATGACTACAAAAAATTGCAGAATTTTTATAAGGAATTTTCTAATGCTGTTTTAACCGTATATGATGGAATATATATTTGTGTCCGAAACTGCACGAACGATATTTTGTAGTTAAAATGTCCTTTTGCGGTCTCAATTTTACTCTAATACCCAGCAGCTTTATTTCTCGCTCTGGAATGTAGATAATTGCAGAGTTTGCTCAGACTAATGATTACAATAAAATCCGCAATTTAGCAAGTTGATCCCAAACTGTTGTCTGAACATTATCTTTGCCACTTACTTTTCATGGGGGCGTTTCAGAGAACTATCTTCCTTGCATTGTAATTCGGCTAAAGGACGAAATTTTCAAGCGAAAATCTTTCATGAAAAAAATTACCTTGCTTCTGGTCCTTGGAATGTATTCTTCTTTGGACGGCTTTCTTCTCTTGTCCTTCTCTTTTAGAATCATGCGAGCAGCGGCAAACGCCATTTTGGCTGATCAACGATTTTTCCGATTGGTTTTCACTCACATATCATTCGAAGGTGTTGGTAGATAAGCAAACTGAACTGTCCGAAGTACGAAGGCATGAAATATCTGGTAAAAATTCTAGAGGTTTTAGCAGTAATGTGATAAAACAAAGTTGGAAACTTGTTTTTTTATTTGATTTGAAAACTATTGATCATTTAGATGCATATCAAGTTCTTGTTGCTTTCAAAGCAAGAACAAAATTGTATTATCAAAAGAAAGTATTAGTGCTTTTGAACATAAGCCCAGAAAATGCGCTAGTAGACGCAAACATTGTTCCCTAGTGTTACAAAGCTTTTCAGGTTTTTGCTTTGTAAGAAAAATAACAAAGAACCCCACACAAACGTGGAAAAGTGCGTGTCGTACAAGGTTTCTCAAATCTGAAATGAAATCGGCATAATTTTCTTAGTTAATTGCTGTTCTTCCGGTCAACACAATGAACAGTGAGTTTAAAGAGAAGCATTCGCAATGAGAAAACTGCAGTTGAAAATATCCATTTGTAATATCTGCGTGGTAATATTCTCTAATGGTTTCCTTTCTTTTCACCAAATTGCTTTCGGGGATTAAGATTTTGGCGTGATTTTTCAGCAAAACAGTAACAAAGAAACCGAAAATTTTTCGCTTTAATTACATTTTGTGGTTTCATTTGGAAAATATCGAAAATGTCAAGCAAACCGAGAAATATTCGTGCACTTTTGCGTTTAATAAAGTTAAAAGCCCGACCATTGAAAGCCGGAAAACTCAGCTCTGGATGAACTTTGAAATCTGCCTTTTGAGGTCCGAAAAGCAATAACAGCGTTTTAACGCAAATTTCAGCTGTGCAACTTCAAAGAGTGCGCATTTCCGAAAATGGAAAATTATATTGTGCCTGGATAAATCTGCTGAAATTGGCTCCATATCCCGACTCTTAAAAATCCGGAAAACCTCCCTGGAAAAAAGTGCAGATGGATTTAAAGGCCGGCTTTTAGGGACATTTAAAACGTTCAAATCTGGACCTAAACTTCCTCGACCACACCATTTTGTAGCTTTTGAGCTTTCAATCTATTGTTCTGCGAACTGAGATTGTTTCGAATTTCCAACTTAATTAAAATCGCCTTTTGAATAATTAGGAAAGTTGGCCGGGTAGAAGCTTTAGCTGTGCAAAGAAATCTTTTTTGCTTGTCAGGAACTTACCAGAAATAATTTTCAATTTAACAGGCTTTTAGAAATATTAAAAGCTTTATTCAATTGAACCTAATTTAATTTACACCGTCTACTCATTTGATTTCATTTACCATAACAAAATTTGGATATTTCTGTGAAATTCGGATGGATAAAATGGAATTTAAAGTCGTCAATGTTTTCAGGGGTTCCTAATAATGTGGATCATGTATTTTACGTAAGTATTTTTATATTGCTGCATTTCGTTTACGTGTTACTAAAAAGCATAAACTTCCCTATATTACAGCGTTTTTATTTCCACGCTGAACTATTAATCATCGGGCAAAGAACATTTTCCAAATCAACTAGATTTAAATTTATTGCCTTTTATGAGCGAAGCTTTATCGTTTCGTGAATAGGTGTGATTTCATTGCCCAGAGGTCAAATAAAAGGGCTCAGTCACATTATTTCTTCGATTCGCAGAAGCGTACCATGCAAGTATTTCCTGAACTGTTCTTTGAGTTTTTTTAATTGCCTTTATGCAGTTTAATTCATTATTTCTTGTAAGGATTTGAGCCTGGTAATTAGGTACAAACAACTATGAAACACATACTTGCAAAGCGCGAAAATTGAACAATCAACCTAGTAGATGCAAAAAGTGTTTTTCAAGTAGAGGACTTGAAAATCAATTATTTAACCTTTTGTATTATAACAGCGAATAGTGCAATTGCTCACTTCTTATGTATTGCCCTTCCAACCAAAACCAAACTTTCCTCAAACACGCAATCGTTTTTTTTTTCAGTAGATAGAATTTTAATTAAATTCCTTTCGCTGAAGGTGCATAGCTAAAAATAGTTCAACACTCTCACGAAAGAAAAATATGGAAAACGTGGTAAAAATATTCTAATTCTTAAATGGATGCAGAATTGGCCGGTTTTGAATAGAACACTTTCAGTTATTAAAGTGACATAATAAAATCAATAGGGATTATCAGTTTAACCAGCGTTTGTATTTAATTTACAACGAATTCGATACACATTTTATTTGATTAGTTGATTTTTATGAAATATCTAATTATTTATTTATTCAGAAGTTTTMATTTTSATCTGGAATCTGGAATTTCGTCTGSAACTTGCGTTGCACYTTAAATACGTGATTTTGAGCCCGACAAACTGACCAAGTATTAAATTCATATTGTTATCTGTTCGTAYTGRGAAATGTTTTGTTGTAATTTAAAGGGCTTTATAAGACAGGCAATATTTTTATGTGTCTTWTCTATTTTTAAAATCCAATTTTTCTATTAGCTTTGGTAGAAGACAAACACCATCTCAAGAAAAATTAGTCCCARAATAAGGAAAAATTATGTAGGCTTTCACGGCCGGTYAAATTACATTTAGGAATRTTTTCCGGGCTTTGAAGCCGTGGTCTATCGGAATTTCTTCCTTCGGAAACAGGAAACGGCTTCAAAGCCCGGAAAACATTCCTAAATGTAAAAATTATGTGTTTTTTTTAATCAGTTTCAAAATTCTTATTCGATATGCTTGCGGTTTAAAAACCTGGATTCGATGTATTGCAAAAGTTGCCCATTCTTACTGTGAATTCGGACAAAACACAAGATTTTTCACCCCGAATTCGCACGTGGTTAAACAGCGATTTTCCGAGCAGTTGCGCGAATTGCTAGGCAGAATTATACCGACTGAATTCAACGGTAAACGATCCAACCTGTACAAAGTTGGATGCGCACGTGAGGGAAAATTTGGATACAAACCCGGAAAATCGGGATAAAATGACGAAAAGAATGGCGAATCGTCAAACTTTCTCGGCGAATTCAATTATCAGCATGCAATTTGGGCAAGGTATCAGACGGATGAGGGTAAGGAGTTTTCCAAATCAATACACTCAAATCAGGCAAAACAAGGCTTTTCTTACCAATTTTGATTCTTTGAACATTTTCATGCTGACAAAGTTGTACTCTTTAAAACAGTAAAAAATCAACATTAAGCAACAATTTACAGCAGCTTAATTTTTCTTCAAATTAACAATATTTTCTGAATTAGTGTGGTTGCCAGACTAAAACGAGATAACTTGCGCCATCTATAGAACAAGACAGAAAGCAAAAGCCAATTGATCCATTCTGAACTTCGGGAGTTTCCAAATAGGATTGACGATTTACAAATGGATTACAATGTTTAACTATGTACATATTCTAAAATATCGGTAAATCCGAAACAATTTAAAATAATAAAAGCTTTGCAGTTTTATACAGTTTCTGGATGTTATTGGAAGTTAAGAGAAGTTATACCCAGAAAACAATCGTGAAAGTAAACCACCTCTGAAGATGTAAGCCACTCGTGCTTGCRAAACGTCAGGAKAAAYCTATTCCCCCTCGGCCTAACCGCTCGAAAAACCCGAGTTTCAAATTAGTGTTTGTATTGTTTYGAATTTTGAAAAATTATTTTTGGAACAATTTCAATTTGCCTCACGTSTAAATCACTTTATTKCATTCATCATTCATCGAATATTTTAWGCTAAATTTACTTCAACCTTTCTGCAAGCAGTGAATTARGAAATWATGAATATGCATGATATCTGRCGCTTTTCATCTCCTRTCCTGAATCTTCCTCTAATTTGTTTTTAATTGGTTCTTTTACTCTCTCATCTATTGAATGCTTGCTGGAAGCTTTCGCTCGAATGTTCAAGCGTTAACAATATTTGAATTTTAGGTGCGCATTAAAAGCAAAATAAACAGTTTGGACTGAATAGGGTGGGGAAATTAAATTAAATTAAAATAGTGTGTGCTTTTTTATATAATAATTGTGTTACGTGCTTCCTGGGTGTTTAGGGGATACGCAAAGGTCGCAGCTAGTAATAGAGTTCAAGGAAGCAATCAAGCTAATTGTTTTTGATATTTATAAAACTATTAATATAAAGTGCAAAGAAACTGAAGGAGTTTTACATCGCTTCATTGCTTTGTCCATGCACTCTGGTTTTCCAGCGTTTTTTTTTTCAATTGAAGATGTGAGGCAAAATAACCGTGTTAAATTTGCTTTTATACATCACTGTCTCTTTTTTCTGAAGAAGTCAAACCAGGACGTTTTCCACCGCAAAAAATTGCAATAAAAAGTAGTTTGAAAGCGCAAACGACAACGAATTAAATTCACTTCTCTGTGATGTGCGTCTTTTGCCCAAAATCATTAATAGGCAGGTTAAGAGTGTTTTTTTCGCCGAAACGACGTTAAAATCAGTGTCGTGCCCGAAGGGCTCGGCACAGCAATTTCATGTTGTGCAACAATAAAACTGCAAAGTTTGTTTGGACGCAAAACACTCTAAAGTCCTCTGGTTCGCACACAAACACTTAAACCTCCCGATTGATCAGTTTGTGGCACAAAATCAGTATCGTGCCTGAAAAATTTTAAAAGTGAATTTTCAATCCACATCAACAGAAGGGGACATCGAAAATTTGGATTAGACATTTTGAGACTCCACTTGAGCCAAAAACCGTTTTTAAAAGACTTTGCTTAAAAATCAGTTATTTAAGTCCAAACTGTACATTTTGCGTTTATTTTATCGGAGAAATTATGTAAGTATTTGATAAGAGGCTTCCAACCGATAAGTGTTTATCCACAACGCAAAAAATGAATAAAATTACAAAAATGTAAAGATGGTTAAAGCGCAACATTACATGTCCTCAGCACTTCCTTTCAGCTACTGAAACGAAGCCAGATTATTTAGATTGAAGCGACAAAGCTTTTCGATCTAGTTCGGGATGTTTGCGCTCTGGTAAATCATGCAAATTCGTAATAGTTTTCTGGATTATCGGATATCGGTCTATCCTTAGGGAAGTTTCATTTGACTAGAAGGCTATTCTTTCGGTAAACTTTGTAAAAGTGAGATACATCAATCTTTTTACTGCTATTCTCGAAATTAAGGGCAACTTACTAAAAATGCAATGGCAACCTAAAAAAGCTAAAATGTTGTATAAAACCGACAATAAATCGCAATTTTCAAGAAATGTGTTTTAAATTAGCTGGCAATTTGTGATGATACTTGAATCGGTTTCGACGACGTCGACGTTAATGCAATTTGGCAGACCATCTTGAGATTAGGAGAGGAGAAATGACGACAAGATTGTATCATTTCCGCTCGGGATACAAAATGTTGGAAATTCGAACTTGAGACCGAGATATTGGTAAATTCGACTTTCGCCTGAAGATGTTTCATGAGAGATTTAAGGGCAATTTCGCTTTATTGAACCAGTATTACATCGGAAAGATTCAAACGAAGCGAAAATATCCATCTTAGAACCGAAGATTTTACATGTTTTTTTTTTAGCTAGCCGTGAGTTGGGAATAATTCATTCAGTCAACTAAAAATCGAATGCAATTAATTCAATAAATTAACAAAAAAGCACGAATTAAACTTATGTTCGCCGCACCAAGCAAAAACAATGCAGCAAACGCATAAAATGCCGGGAAAAGTTGGCTCTTTTAATTAATCAGCCTTATCAATCGCAATCCATCGCCATAAAACTCTGCCCACACACCGAACTATGGACTATGTGAAAACCATCCCATATTTGTTGCTTTTGGCCGACAAATTAATTTTCTCAAAGCTTCTCACATCACTACAAAAATTTACGATCATTGATTTGTATCTAGGAATTAACTATACTTGGTTAGCAACAGGGACCCGGATCGGAACCGATATGGACCAAAAACCGGAACGGAACCGATTTTTTTTTGGACCGGAACCGTAACGGAACTCATATTTGATACTAACACACTGTTAGGTGCTGAACTGGAACCGAAATATTTTATTTCGGTTCTGCTTGTAACGTTTGAATTTTAGAGGAACAATTATTTGTGAGGACCAACCGACTTTTCAATCGAAAAGAACTAACACCATACGTGTATACACTATTTTTAAAATTATTTTAGTTTTTCGATCACCAACAAAGAAACGTTTGAAATTGAAATGTTGGACAACAGCAACTCCTCAAAAGATGGTGAAGACATGGACCAGGAAGAACAATGTTTAAAAGGAAATAAGAGTGGAAGAAGAGGAATTGACGAAGTTGTGGACCTGAGGGAAAACGGAAAGAAGAGAAAAGCGCTAAAGTCAGGAAATGCATTGACAAATCACTTTTCAAAAATACGATTAAATTAATTTTTGTATGGGATTCTTTATTGCAATGTTGTTCCATTTAATGTTATCTGAATTTCAATCCTTGTGTGGGGTTGCTAGTCCTCCTACACTCCTACCCCCTACCATACAACCAGCCGAAGTATATACGAAGTATAATACAACAAGCAAGGAAAAAGATAGTGAGATTCCTAATTAGAGTATCATTGTCCTCGTTCGTTGTAATATATAGATTTTGGAACCGAAATGAACCGAAAAGAAAACCGGAACCGGAACGGAACCGAATTGGAAATTATTTTCTAAACCGGAACCGAAATTTTAAATTTTGCCTTAGACCGAAACCGGAACGGAACAGTTATTTCGTTTCGGTCCGGCTCCTTGGTTAGCAGTAACTGGAATTTTTTACGAGGTTTTTCAAGTTTTTATGTTCCTAAAATATGAAGTTTTGGTTTAGTTTATTCAGCATTAAATGTATTGTTCAGTAGTTTTACTTTTAATAAATAATTAATTTGATTCTCGAAAGAAATCTTTATTTATGAAGAATTATTATCAACCTTATTATTTTGTTTTTTCGGGCTCAATTTGAAATTATTTTCGTGCTGCTGTTTTGTCTGTTTGGACTCGTGGACACAAACATTCGACTAAGATTCTTTGTCTTATAATAACCATTATAATTTGTCTGGATAACTGTTGTTTTTTCGCTATTCCTGATTATTATTCTCAAACTTAGAAGTTGCGTTTGCAGAATGTTTAAGAGAAAAAATGTTGGCAAATAACAAAGACAAATATTTGGTCGAATAAACAACTCGGTAATTTCTGGAAAGAAATTCTTTGTGGATTTACTTGTTTACTGAAGTTTTCATGCTCCTTAATTTATTAAAATAAAGTTGAAACAAACGGCAATTTTAAAGTTTTTAAATATATGAGTAATTAATGGTTTTTTTGTGCAACACACTTATTTAAGTAAATAATTTAATAAATGCTTTCAATCTCTAGGCCTGGTACAGCAATGCCGAGCCTTTGATTCCTCAAAAAAAAATTTACTTGAAAACCAATGACAAAAGAGTTTTTTTACAAACTTCTTGTTGGGTATTTCGCCTCAAAAATGTTTGTCTTTAAAAAAGACAGAATTTCCTCACGTCTTTTATTACAGATTGATAAATAGTGCTCCT